AGGGACAAGATCCAGCTCCACCCATCAGTGGACAGAGATCAATCCCTCATACCAGGAAGCCTGAACAAGCCTCAGAACCAACCTCACTCACTAGGGGGCAGACATCATAAGAAAGAACTACAATCCTGCAGCCTATGGAAAAGAACCCACAGACCAGAAAGCTAGACTCCTGTCAGACTACCCAGCCTGGGGGTCTGGGATCAAGAGGAGGAAGTCCCTAGAGCATTTGGCTTTGAAGGCCAGAAAGCTAGACAAAATGAGATTGGAGAGGAATAGAGTTGAAAAAAAGAAAGATAAAACCCCAGAAGAACAAAGTGAAGTATAGATGGGCAATATGCCTGAAAAAGAATTCAGAGTAAGTATAATAAAGATGATACAAGATCTCAGAAAAAGAATGGAGGCACAGAATGAGAGGATATAAGAAATGTTTAACAAACAGGTAGAAAATTTAAACAACAAACAGATAAACAATACAATGACTTAAACGAAAAATATACCAGAAGGAATCAACAGCAGAATAACTGAGGCAGAGGAAGGGATAAGTGAACTGGAAGACAGACTGGTGGAAATCACTGCCACAGAACAAAAGAAAAGAATGCAAAGAAACGAGAACAGTCTAAGAGATCTCCGGGACAACATTAAACACACCAACATTCGCATTATAGAGGTCCCAGAAGGAGAAAAGAAAGAGAAAGGGCCTGAGAAAGTATATGAAGAGATAATAACTGAAAACATGGGAAAGGAAACACTCACTCAAGTCCAAAAAGTACAGATAGTCCCATACAGGTAAACCCAAGGAGGATTATGCCAAGACAGACATCAATCAAATTAACAAAAATTAAAGACAAAGAGAAAATGTTGAAATCAACAAGTCAAAGCAACAAATACCATCTAAGGAAACCCCCTAAAGTTATCAACTAATTTTTCAGTAGAAACTGTGTAAGCCAGAAAGGAATGGCATGAAATATTTAAAGTGATGAAAGAGAAAAGCATGCAACCAAGAATACACAGTAAGGCTCTCATTCACAGAAAAATCAAAAGCTTTACAGACAAACAAAAGCTAAGAGAATTCTGTAAAACCAACCCAGCTTTACAACAAATGCTAAAGGAACTTCTCTAGGTGGAAAAGATAAGGCCACAACTAGAAACAAGAAAATTACAAATGGGGAAGCTCACTGGTAAAGGTAAACATACAGGAAAGGTTGGAAATCATCCACACACATATTTCGAGAATATAAATGCAGGTTATTGGAAACACATTTGAAAGTAACAGATCAGGAACCTAACACAATCTTGTATGATAATAGAGTACTATATCAAAACCTCATGGTAGCTGCAAACCAAAAAACTACAATAGATATACACACAAAATAAAAAAAAAACAAACCTAAATCCAACACTAAAGACAGTCCTCAAGTTACAAGAGAACAAAATATCAATGTAAGAAAAAAGACTTGCAAAAACAAATCCAAAAATAACAAAATGGCAATAAGAACACACATATCAATAACTAGCTTTGATGAAAATGAATTAAATACTCCAACCAAAAGACACAGAATGACTAAGTGGATACAAAAACAAAACCAGTATATATGCTGTCAACAAGAGACGCACTTCAAATCTAGGAACACATACGGAATGAAAGTGAGGGGGAAAGGTAATTCATGAAAATGGAAATCAAAGGAAAGCTGGGGAGCAATACTCATATAAGGAAACATTCTCATTCACCACTGCATCAAAATAAAACAAAATACCTAGGAACAAATCTAGCAAAGAGATAAAAGACCTATACTGAAAAGCATAAGGCACTGATGAAAGAAATCAAAGATAATATAGACAAATAGAAAAATACATGTTATTAAATTGGAAGAATCAATACTGTCAAAATCACTAACCCAAAGCAATCTACAGATTGACTGTAATCCCTATCAAATTACCAATGGCATTTTTCACAGAATTAGACAAAAAAAATTTACAATTCATACGCAAACACAAAGGACCTCAAATAGCCAAAGCAATCCTGAGAAAGAAAAACAAAGTTAGAACAATCAGGCTGCCTGATTTGAGACTATACTACAAAGCTACAGTCATTTTAAAAAGTATCGTTCAAAAAAAAAAGTATGGTTCAGTTCAGTTCAGTCACTTAGTCATGTCTGACTATTTGCGACCCCATGAATCGCAGCACGCCAGGCCTCCCTGTCCAACACCAACTCCCAGAGTTTACTCAAACTCATGTCCATTGAGTTGGTGATGCCATCCAGCCATCTCATCCTCTGTTGTCACCTTCTCTTCCTGCCCCCAATCCCTCCCAGCATCAGGGTCTTTTCCAGTGAGTCAACTCTTCGCATGAGGTGGCCAAAGGATTGGAGTTTCAGCTTCAATATCAGTTCTTCCAATGAATATTCAGGACTGATCTCCTTTAGGATGGACTGGTCGGATCTCCTTGCAGTCCAAGGGACTCTCAAGAGTCTTCTCCAACACCACAGTTCAAAAGCATCAATTCTTCAGTGCTCAGCTTTCTTCACAGTCCAGCTCTCACATNGGATGTTGGCAATTTGATCTCTTGTTCCTCTGCCTTTTCTAAAACCAGCTTGGACATTTGGAAGTTCACAGTTCATGTATTGCTGAAGCCTGGCTTGGAAAATTTTGAGCATTACTTTACTAGCGTGTGAGATGAGTGCAATTGTGCGGTAGTTTGAGCATTCTTTGGGATTGCCTTTCTTTTGAATTGTATGGTACTGGCACAATAACAGAAATACAGATCAAGAGAACAGGATAGAAAGCCCAAAAATAATCCCACACACCTATGGCCAATTTACCTACAACAAAGGAGGCAAGAGTATACAATGGAAGAAAAGGCAGTCTCTTCAGCAAGCAGTGCTGAGAAAACTGGACAACTACATGTTAATGAATGGAATTAGAACATTCTCTAACACTGTACACAAAAATCAACTCAAAATGGATTAAAGACCTAAACATAAGACTAGATAATATAAAACTCTTTCAGGAAAATATAGGCAAAACATTCTGTGACATAAATCACAGCAGTATCGTTTTTATCCACTTCCTAGAGAATGAAAATAAACAAATGGGATCTATTTAAACTTAAAAGCTTCTGCACAACAAAGGAAACCATAAAGAAAATGAAAAGACAACAGAAAAAATGGGAGAAAATATTTGCAAATGATAATCTCCAAAATTTACAAATAGCTCATATATATATATATATATATATATATAAAAGAACCCAGTCAAAAAATGGGCAGAAGAGCTAAACAGATATTTCTCTATCTGTTGTAGAGCCGCATTGTAGGCAGAGGCTTTACCGTCTGAGCCACTTAGAGGTTAAAGTGTCTGCCTGCAATGCGAGAGACCTGGGTTCGATTCCTGGGTCAGGAAGATCCCCGGGAGAAGGAAATGGCGACCCACTCCAGTATTCTTGCCTGGAGAATCCCATGGACAGAGGAGCCTACAGAGTTGGCTACAGTCCACGGGGTCACAAAGAGTCAGACACGACTGAGCGACTTCACTTTCACTTTCATATATAAAATAATCAATATGGACCTACTGTACTGCACATGGAACTCTACTCAATGTTCTATAAAAACCTATTTTGGAAAAAATCTAAAACTATATATGTATATACACATATATATATACACAACTGAATCACTTTGCTGAACCCTGAAACTAACACAACATTGTAAAATAACTATACTACAGTATAAAATAAAAATTAAAAATGTTAAAAATAAATAACATTTTCATTATGCATAGGAAAAATTTAATCTCCTTCCTTTGGCTGGGAACACATATACACAACTATTCCAGGTAAATTAAGAATATTCTTCATGCTTAGTCTCTCTTAGGGTTGGAGAGTCTATCATTCTTTTTTGTCATTCAGACAGCACTTATGCTACTCTGTCCTGAAAATGGACAAGAACTGGCAACCATGGTTTCCATAACAAGAGCCTTCCTGTACCTGAAGATAATGTTTAATTACTGATCAGTTTTTTTATCTCAAGAACAAAAAAAGTAACTTTTTTAAAGTGTTACAAAAATATGATTTAATGTTGATATACATATAACATCCAAGAACTCTAAGGAAGAGAGGGAAGAGGAAAGCAATAATCAAAAAGAAAGGAACAGCAGGCCAGATGAAATAGGAAATAAAAGCTACATGGAAAGAATAAAGAAAACATCCTTGACAGACTCCAAAAATAATATCTGAGTGCTTATCATTTGCAAGGCACTAGTAGAGGGCTTTATGCCGTTGTCATACAGCTAACACTTAACTGAACGTGTACCTCGTGTCAAGCATTATTCTATGCGCTCTTCATATATGAAGTCACATAACGTACAATCTTTACAACATCCCAAGGATAGGATATCCCCGTATTTCAGATAAGGAACTGAAACAGAGGCTTGTAACATCTTTACATTCTTGGTGCATTCTTTTTAAGGACATCATTATTCCTATTTTACAGATGTAAAAACTGAGTATCACATTAAATAACATGCCCATGATCAAAAGAGCTGGTAAGTGAGAGAGCTGGGTTTTAAACTAAGAATCCTCTGATTCCAAAGTACTTTCTGACTACATGTTTAACTTGAGAAAAAGAAAATACTAGTAACAATAAGCACAATAGAGTATATCACATGCCAGGCACTATTAAAAGAGTAGGGAAAATGAAACTCAAACATAGGAGGTCCTGTTTCAGAGCTATGCTCTTACCACAACACTATATTGCCTCTTGCAATCAAAACATATAATTGGAGCAACTGTTTGGGATCATGAAAAATGAGAATGGTCTCACAGGTAAATATATGCTGGTACTGCCATATAACTAATACTTGTTGAACACTTACTAAATACTTCTGGAAGACACTGTAACATGTGACCTAGATCCCCCTCAGGAATGAAGGACTTATTGGACCAGTTGATGGGAGTTCTAAAAGAAGACAGGCCTCAACTACCAGGTCTCATTGGAAAAACTTACCTGTGGGGTTGGCTGAGGTCTTCACTGGGATGCAGTGCAGCTCATTTCCTACAGGTGTTGATCCAAAGAGTAATCCCTAATAAATAAGAAACATCTGGAATGTTAACTTTGACCTGAGAGTTTGTTTCCCTAGGAACCCAACCTGAAACAACATTTCACAGAATCTCATTTAACTCTCACCATCCTATGAATCAGATGCTATTATTCTCATATACTCATTTTACAAATGAAAATACTAAGGTTTAACTTTCCCAAGGTCATAGAGCTGGTCAAGGATGGAGACAGAATCTGAAAAGAAGTAGAATTCTAGAGGCTGTACCCTAAACTTCTACAAAACTGTATATATAGAGACAGATTCTATATATACAGACTGTTTATGTTGAGACTTGTCATTAGTTCAACATGTATTTAATGTGTAGCGGAAAGAGGCACTGTGAGGACTCTAAGATCTTAAAAGGGAAAAGATATCTAACATTTATGTTTAAAGCACAGGCAAGAGTAATGTTAGAAGTTGGGATGACCTGAAATGTAAACCAGATGGCCTGAAAAAGAAGACTGGTCAAGAAAATAGTCAAACAATTTTTACCTCTATGGCTTCCACAATTTATTTCTTAAGAAGAACAAACGAAGGACCAAAAGTTAAAAAGTTCCCATATGAAAGAGGAGAGGAAAATGTTCAATTAAAGACAACCTTACACATTAAATAATCTTAAATTCAAAGAGAAAAGGTTTCACTCTCCAATGTGCAGTGTTTATCATTTGATACATCTATCTAGCATTTTTCCTCATATGAGAGAAGTTGAAAACACAAAATGCTAGCATATGGACTGGACTTTAATGAGAAGTTACAGGGTTATCAGTTCAGTTCAGTCACTCAGTCATGTCTGACTCTTTGTGACCCCATGAAGCACAGCACGCCAGGCCTCCCTGTCCATCACCAACTCCTGGAATCCACCCAAACCCATGTCCATTGAGTCGGTGATGCCATCCAAAAATGTCATTCTCTGTTGTCCCCTTCTCCTCTTGCCCTCAATCTTTCCCAGCATCAGGGTCTTTTCAAATGAGTCAGCTCTTCGCATCAGGTGGCCAAAGTATTGGAGTTTCAGCTTCAACATCAGTCCTTCCAATGAACACCCAGGACTGATCTCCTTTAGGATGGACTGGTTGGATCTCCTTGCAGTCCAAGGGACTCTCAAGAGTCTTCTCCAACACCACAGTTCAAAAGCATCAATTCTTCTGCACTCAGCTTCCTTTATAGTCCAACTCTCACATCCATACATGACCACTGGAAAAACCATAGCTTGACTATACGGACCTTTGTTGACAAAGGGATGTCTCTGCTTTTTAATATGCTGTCTGGGTTGGTCATAACTTTCCTTCTGGTATATCTCTTCACAATATTCTAAGAGATATGGGGCAGTGTTAAAAGATGGGGTGGGGAGAGAGGAGTTAAGGCCATAGTTATGGCCACAGCCATAGCTTTTGCCTGAGTTATGCTATTCAATCACAGATTTCCTCCAATGTTAAAAATTTCCAAGTACTATTAGCCATCTTAATTTTCTCACTTTTTCCAGGACAGATAAGATTCAAGACATAAATCCCTTGACTCATATGTAAGCTTAAATTGTGTAGAATCTACTTTTTAAAACTACACTTTTTTCATGGGCATGAAAATTTTCCTGTATTTCCAACAGAAGGAAGAGGAAAATTACAACTGAAAAAAACCAAGTATTAAATTTATTCTCAGTGCTCACATGTCCTGGGCACATTTTTTATTTTACTCAAAACCTAAAGCAAATTTAAAATACATTCAGAACATGAGAGGGCCTGAAAAACCAAGTTCAGAGAAAATGGGATGCAGTTAGCAAACATTACATGCATCAGTGAACTGTACTAAATTGAACACTTTTAAATGCCAGAGATTTTCTCTGTGAAACTGGGGGGTTTGAAAGGAAAATCAATACTGTTGGGAAAGAGAAACCTTCTTCACACATCTCTAATTAGTCATGGCAGAATCTGGTGGATTTCCATATTACAACTGGATCAAACTTGTGAAATTGGTTTTGATCCCAGACTCATTCAGTACATCTTCCAGAAGCTCCACTCAAGACAATCAAAGGCTTTTCAACCTTGAATGATCACCAAGATCACTCTTTCAGTGTGCATCCATCCTATATTATGTTCAATGTCTGTCTAATGTTGCCTCCAGCAAATCTCCCTGGAATTACCCTGAAAGAGCTCCATTTATAAGAATAGGCAAAGACTCTTCAAAACTGGTCAGCTTCAACTTTAGCTTGAGTCTTCAAAATCTATATTAGTAAGTGAAACCAGGCATAAAGAGGCATAGTTCTTCATATCTTTTATTTCTTTAATAAGTAAAATAAATATTGGCCATATTGTTTACATTAGGGCACAAAGTCTTCTGTAAAGTCACCGCTTAAGTCTAATGAAATAGGTGAAGGGTTTCTGTATTTTTCTAAATAATCAATATCAAAGCTGCTGATGCAAATTTATTTGAACCCCAGGGAACATATCCTTTGAAATTCTGGGAAATTTTTAAAAACAGTGTGCAAATCAATAAGTGGACAAAAACATCTCTGTCAATGTGTTCATTTTTATCTGGAGAGGAGATATATCTTTAAATGTAAACTCTCACTCCCACTATGAACCCTTTCCCCAAATCATTTCTTTTACAAAAGAAATTCATGAAAGTCAGCTGGACATAAAACAGTCTTTTTGGCTATAATTAAAGGTGTGTAGATGTCAACTCCCTGAACAGAATGACTTCTCAAGTCTGAAAGCCAGCCTTCTCAGTCTTCCTGTTTCTAATCTTTTGTAATACTCTCATGCTTTTCTCTTTTCCTATCATTTCACATCCAGTTTTGGAGCTTTAGCCAACTGGTATGGTTTGAGGGCATTTTCAGAAGGGATTCTACTGGCCTGGATTGGTTGGTATATGCTGTTTTGAACGGGATGCATCTACGAGATTAAAATATATTTTTTCACTACTGCCTATTTTCACAGTCCACTGAGCAAAAACACAAAGCAATTTTTTTCCTTCCCTCATTCTCCCTTCCTCCCTTCCTTCTCTTTCTTCCCCTGTGGAGTTCAAATTAAAGAAAGGTGAAAATTGAAGCTGTTGTAGGCAAGGCGATTGCAACATGCATATTTGATTTTTATGATGGATCTAAATTGCTGAATAAGGCCATGGAACAAAGGGAGACTGCGGCTACCTGCCCATCACATGCAGCCACTGAATGCAGAACAAAAGCTTCGGCCATTAGGGGCTCAGCAGGGAGACACATTATATAAATGACTTTGTCTTTTCTGCTCCCTCCCCCCCTAGTGGGTGCACTGGACAGGGATGGGGGTGTGGGTTGGGGTGTGTGTGTGTATGGGTGTTATGATTTCCCAGGGCAGAAGATAATAAATCCTGGAAGCAGCAGTGGGAATAGAAAACATACAGCATGTTATGATTCAAAAAGGCCATGCTTTACTCACTGGACCAGTGCAGCTCTCAGCACTGTGGTGAGAGCATCACCTGAGACAACCACTTCCCTGAGGAAGTAGGTGTCTTTCCAGAACAACCTGTAGCTTTTCTCTTAACTATTTTGTTTCTTTCATCAGGAATGATGAAACATAAAGAAAAACACTTAGAAAAAATATGAAGGCCTACTGTTCCAAGGTAACTGCCAGACCTGCTTAAAGAACAAACTGAAGTACAGTTCATTGTGACACTAGTTTCCCAGGAAGGTACTATTTTTAATTCTTCCTTCCAGACTCAAGGTTTTTCTTTGGCAGAAAAGGAGAACCATACATCAATAAAAAATCATAAGCTATCACATAGCTGAGTCAACCTGTTTTTAAGAGGCCTCCTGTGGTGGTGACTTGAATAGATGCTACTGTTTTTCCTGGCTTGAAACAGCAGTAATCCTATACATATACATTCAACAATCTTTGTATAGACTTTGTTCTGAAGGATTTTAGTAAGCTTCAGAGAGGTGAATCATTTTATTATTTCTAATATTACTGTAAGAGATAGGGATTAAAAGAGATTCTCTTGGCAAGTTCGAGGTCGAAGCACAGAGTGATTAAATACATTGAAGGTGATACAGTAAGCTGGAGGCAGGCTAAGAATGAAACCAAGGTCACTGGATGCTCACTTCAGGCCTAACTATCATGTATGTTTCATGAGAGGAAATGACTCAATGATATGTTTCTATTTTTTAGTACAATTCAGAAATTAGTATGTTCTGACAGTCCTACTCTCAAATGTAGTAGAGAAAGCAGTCCCACTGCTAACCAAAGTAACTGAAAGTCAGAGTCAAGTGCTACAGAACTAGAACTGAGGGTTCTTGGTGAGACTGAATTCCAAAGACAAACTCAATGTAAGGGCATATATATCCTTAAGCAATCTAACGATGATGGAGTTGTGTAAAGCCAGCTAAACAAAATGCCATGAGATAACTGCCATTCATCATACACCTTATCTCTCTGTCTCAAAGTGGGCAATTCATTTGAAATAAAGTAGAATCATATCACTTACATGAAAGCTGAGGGACAGACCTCAGTGGGTTGTTACTGTAAAGTAATTCAGTTGTGAGCCACACAGGTCACCAAGCAAACTTTTACAAAAGTTCTTTTGGACCTTACTTTAAGATGGTTAAACTCCTTCTAACTGGGTAGGAAAAGAATCTCTCAATAAAGACTGCTTAATGGATTAGGATGATATTGAGACTTATGCTTATCAAAGGTTTAAGCAAATGGGATGAAAAAATGGTTAAAGGGAGTCCCCTAACCTACATGTTCAGAGGTGGGGGTTAGTAGTAAGGATAAACAGATGGATCAGTATATTGGAGAAAGTGAAAGAAAGTGAAGTCACTCAGTTGTGTCCAACTCTTTGCAACCCCGTGGACTGTATAGCCTACCAGGCTCCTCTGTCCGTGGGATTTTCCAGGCAAGAGTACTGGAGTGGGTTGCCATTTCCTTCTCCAATATTAGAGAAGAGAATGCTAAATAGTTATTCATTTCTTTATTCATCTACTCTGTTATCAAATATTCATTAAGGGCCTACTA